ACGGTCAAATGCACGTGGGGAAGAGCAGAAGAAGAGATTTTGAATTTGCCCATATGGTCACCTTCCATCGTGGTCAAGCTTTGCACCCATGGTCATCGTATTTGAGGTTGACCATTTGGTCAAGCTCCTCATGGTCACGCTTGCACGAATGGTCATTTTATTTGTAGTTGACCATATGGTCAAGCTCTTCATGGTCACGTTTGCACCAATGGTCATCTTATTTGTAGTTGACCATATGGTCAAGCTCTTCATGGTCACGCTCGTACCAATGGTCATCTCTTCTTATCTTAGTATTTCCTTCATGTCAACATGGTCCATGTACGGATTAATTATTCTAAGTAAGTATTTTATTTTATTTATAAAAGTACTACATCATATATAAACAAATAATACACCTTCATACGAAACATAACCATAAATATTATATGACACCAAACTATATCTCAATTTTTAAATATTAAACTATGTCTTATCCTCACACCCAGCATCTAAATATTAAATTCTAAACCCTGATCATTAAATCCTAAACTCAAATATGAATTCTAATCCCAAATATAATCCATAGACCCAAATAGAATGGAAAAAAACAAATAGCATAATACATAATGATGAAACAATGCAATGTCTATATTATTATGGACGAAGTTTGTGATGACCCCAACTTTACCCACATCTTCAAAATATTAAACCTTAAACCTTAACCACGAAACTCTAAACCCAAATATAAACCCTAAAACCAAATATCAACCCAAAACCCTAAACCCAAATATAAATCTAATCCCAAATATAATTTCTAGACCCAAATAAAATGGAATAAAAATAGTATAGTAAATATTGGTAAAAATATGAAGTGTATATGATTAATGTTAATCCCAACTTTAACCCCACTTTCCTATTACTAATTCTTAAATCCTAATCACTAAACTCTAAACTCAAATATAAAAAGTACATAATATAATTTTAATATGTTCTATTTACAAAGACTATTAGATTATTCTATTTACAATTGGTACAAATATCAAACAAAGTGCAGGTTTGTAATGATAATAGATCACAATGGTGGTATGCTATTATGTATACATACAAACAAGATGATAATCTAGTTTAATTTGTACGTAATATACTATGAACAGACCATGGGTTAAAACTGAGGTATTCTATTCTAAACACGTACTATTCTATTACAAATGTAGAATTGTATGAACAAAAGAGATGACTCCACAGTGGATGGAAGAGCAATATACATCGAAATCTGCTGCTTGATTTCGCGGTTCAATAAATATTGGCTGAAAAGTTTTCACTTCTTGGAAAGCAACAAATAAGAAGAAGAAGTTATTTTGAGAGATGTGTGATTTCTCATGACCACACGTAATTTTTGGTTGGTTGGGTATTTAATAATTTTTTTTAATTATAGATTACATTGAAGGTTAGAAAGGTAAATATTATATAAAATACACTTTATATCGATGTATGGTACAACATTTGGTTACAGAACTAAAAAAAAAAATTTCTTAACCATACAGCCTAATTTCCCTAAATTTAAACAATGTATGATCAAAACTTAAAATGAACATAACATTGGTTCATTTAAAGTTTTGATCATAAATTATTTAAATTTGTATATTGTATATTACAATGTTTTGGATTTATAACAGTAAACTATATTCAGATTTTCAAACTTTTTTACACAATTAAATGAATATTCAAATTAAAAGTGAATCGCAAAAATTTGTTTGAACTTGAACCAAAATTTATAAATATCTAAATGGGTTTAAATCTTTAGTTTCAGATATCTAAGTTCTGAGTCCGAACGGCCCATCCCTATACATACGACAATACACTATGATGTTCGTATCTATCTAGACAAAATTATGGTAAAAGAACTGAACATTTAAAAAAAAAAAAAAAAAGTTGAACATTGCATCCTATCAAGTTTTTTTTACCATAAGCTTTTGTAGCAGATATATAGTAAAGGGCCCAAAACATATGCGGGCCGCGATTGACCAAACAAGAATATAAATAAGAGACGAATATTAAGCAATGTTTTGGCTCACTAGCAATTCGTCTTTGGGTGAAGATAAAGGTTTATTTTTGTTGACAACAGTGGGTTAAAAAGAAGGTTAATCTCCTTATTTTTACTTTTTTCTTTAAGCAAAAATCTCACTCATTATATGTTGTGAAATATACCGGAGAAGATATACTATTTAACAGTTAAATTTAGTATACTTGACATATTGAAAAGGAGCCTCTAAATGCGTGGGACAATACGATTTGAGTGTTTCAAATCAACAAACGATGATATCAAAGATTATTACGATTCAATGATCCCAATACTCCAAACGCATTGCGTTACGTATTAGTATAAGATTTACTCTAATTAATTTAGAGAACGGTGAAATGAAACTCAAGGGAAGATTATTAAAAGTGATTTAACATTGCGTTTCCAGATATCAGATACCTAACCACGAACATGTCACACCAAAACAGCAGAACCAAACACAACACATAGAGAACCAGAAACATGAACAGAAACGGTCCAATCACAACAACCTGAAACCCTAATCTAATTACCAACCACCACCACCGCTTCCTCCGTAACCTCCACCTTCACCACCATCACGTCTTCCACCGTATCCGCCGCCGCCGCCACCTCCTCTCGAGGAGTAACCGCCTCCTCCACCACCGCTGTAACCACCCTCACGTCTTCCACCACCTCCGTATCCACCGCCACCGCCTCCGTATCCACCGCCGCCGCCACGGTATCCACCGCCGCCACCACGGCCTCCACCGCCGCCACCGCTTCCACGAGACTGAGCCTCGTTGACAGTGATGCTGCGACCGTCGAGGTCCTGTCCGTTCATGCCTTCGATGGCGTCTTTCATGGACTTCTCATCCTTGAAAGTCACGAATCCGAACCCCCTTGAACGTCCTGTCTCACGATCGTTGATGATCTGTTCAGACAGAACAAACATAAAACAAATCATCAGCATTTAAGCTCAACACACAGTAATAAAAATCATTTAAAATTTAAAATTAAAAAAGAAAACAAAATAAAAAACCGAACGATCTCCAGGCTCATAATAGCAGGAAGATGAACGTACCGATTGAGAAAAGTAAAGTAACAGTAACAGTAACAAAAGAGCATAGTAACAGTAAGTAACAGAGGGAAACACAGATCGGAACAGATCCGTATCAGATCATCGGAAACCTCCGGGAGTCCGATCTCTGCGTGTAACCGACCTTGGAATCAAGAACGTCGCCGTATTGAGAGAAGGCGGCCTGGAGAGCTTGGTCATCGGTGGCCCATGCTAGACCTCCAACGAAGCACCGGTACTCAACATCAGCGGACGCCATTGAAATGAGACTGAACTAGGTTTTGCAGTGAAGAAGAGAGAAAGTGTGTGGTGAAGTTTGGTGGAAGATGAATGTATTTATAATGGGGGGATGAGATGTTAACCAAGGTTAAGATATTTTCTAGGGTTGGGTTTGGTTTACGTGAAAAATGGTTTAACTATGGTTAAGGAGTGTGGTTTAATAATAATGGGAGTTGGTGGGAGACACATCACGTGACACTTTCTGGTTTGATGCGCAGAAAGATATTTTCCGCTCCCTTTGTTCCAGAAAATATCTTATTGGCGACAAATATCTTGTATCTGAAATGACATACTTACCCCCTTTGGCCTCATGTTGTAATCAGTGATGGTTTTTCGCTGGCACAACTCAAAATGGGCCGGAGTTTAAGCTTTTTACTTAGAAAAATACATGATTGGGCCAAAACAGCCCAGAACAAAAAATAAAGGAAAAAAACGCAAAAACATTTTGTTGACAGTGGGATTTGAACCCACGCCCTTTCGGACCAGAACCTTAATCTGGCGCCTTAGACCAACTCGGCCATATCAACTTTGTTGTTTCAGAGGCTGATGTAACTAAACTTATCTACACACTCACGCAAGTGAAGCACCAGTGGATAAGATGAATTATGAGTGTAACAGGCAGAAGTATAGAACTTGCAGGTTTGGTTTAAGGAGAAGGCTCTCTAAATACAACTATTGCAAGTTTATTTCCTGTGTTGATGTTGGATTTGTAATTTCTCTGCATGTATGTAAACACAAGTAGATAAAACAAACGCTAATGTGCTTCTACCCTATTAAACCAATATGGTATATATCATATATGTTTAGCGATGTGTAGATGGTTCTGACCTTGTGCTTGATATCCTTAGTTATAACATGTGGTCGTCACTCGTCACCATGTGCTACAAGGCTGAGTCCGTTCGGTTGACTTGTGCTTACCATTCTAAAGTCGCCTTCCGTTGACCTTTCTCGAACTCTTATTGTTTACAGATAGAATGGGAAGGAAGGTTTCTTGAGGTACGCTTGCTTCTTTGGGACTGTTTCTTGAGGTACGCTTGCTTACCATTTTAGTCTTTCTCTTTCATGAACTTGCAGGTTTATGACATCTACATACCAAATAAGAGACAACTATTTTCTTAATAAAAAGAGAAACTAGCTAGTGCTATACGAGAACAGAACTAGTATTCCATGCAAGAAAACCCATTTTTATATTCATTTTGTAGATTATATGAAACGGCTATATAAACTTTTTTAATATGTTAATTTAAAAAATGATTAACTACAAATTGTCTTTTTGGACTAACCTTTCTAAAATAATGAACATATTTAAAAAAAAAAAAAAAATTTAAAAGGTTTATGAGATTTTAAAAAAAATTTAACACATAAATCTAAATTAATTATATGACCCGGCTATATAAATTTTACAATATTTTAAAGTACGGAAATTAATTACCACAAATTTGCTTCTGAGATTTTAAAAAGGTTTATGAGTGTTAAAAAAAGAAAAAAAAAAGCTTATGAATCTTGAAACATATACAGTTAGGCTCGCTTACCGTTATTTGGCAGCTAACTGATAATCTAACTTCACCCGGCAAGCCATGGTTGAGATCTCTGACATTCCCGTCGACGACGGGGTTAACGGTGGAGCTTCAACCAAGAAACCGCAAGAACAACAACCCGGAGAAGAAGCAAAAACAGCGACTGCAGGACTCACATCTAACTCTTGGTGTAGATCGTCCGGTTCTTTTACTCTGAATGTTTTGATTTTCGCGAGTGTTTAGATATGGGCGAAGAGACATGTCTTTAGGATCTCGATTCATGCCTTGAGACGTTAGAGACCAGTGTTGGGTTTAGGGTAAGACCTTGGTTTACTCTCAGATTGAGGCTATGCGATGACTAGTCCGTTTTCGTTTTGCCTGTTGCAATTTTAACCTGATTCCATACCGATTTAGAATCCGCGATAGGTTCTCGGTTTATACGATTCGTCTGGTTGGAACCGAGCATCTCACCGGGAACAATTTCTAAGTTGCCCAGAAGTGCTGACCAAAAATTTAGATTTCTTTTATAGCGCGCTATTTTATCCTAGTCGGATGGTTGTTACCTTGCACTTGATATCCTTAGTTATAACATGTGGGTCGTGACCATATGCTATAAGGCTGAGTCCGTCCGGTTGTGGAACTGATCTTATTGTTTACTGATAGTGTGAATTAAGGCTTCTTGGTATGCTTCTATTTCTATGATGATGAATTCTGACGTTGAGGCATGATAGTCTTTCATGAACTTGAAGGTTTAACACATTTACATTGTTGCATTTCATTATTGATCAAACGCAAAATATAGTCTCATGATCTGCATCTAGCAAATTAGAGACAAGATTCTTATAAAAGATAAACTAGTGTTATTCTACGTGAACAAAACATGCATTCCATGCAAGAAAATCCACTTTTATATTCATTTTCTAGATTATATAAAGGTTATATTGATGTAGAAAACGGCACTATAATAAATTTTATAATACTACGTTACAATAAACTAGGTGCTTTGCCTACTTGCGGGCATAATTCTCTTATAAATATTTATTAGTTGATGTTTCATTAATTTAAAAATCAGCATAATAAGTTAATATTTATGTTTTTAAAAAGTAAAAATCAAACATCAAATAATTATTAATGACAAAATTCAAACTTCATAAATATTTAAAAGAATATATTTCTATAATTATTTTGCTTGATTTATATTTAATTATAATATTTATAAAAAAAAATAATTAATTTATATTTAATTTTAATTTTTATATCTTAATTTTAATTTTATAATAGAACACATATTTTAAAGGTTTGCCACGAGATATTGTTGCTAAATCATCAAAAGGAATGAGTTTAAAGCCTATTACAAATGGAGATGTTTGATTGTAACCCTACCTATCATGACTGGAGATCCCAAGACGTAGGTTCAAAGGGAAAACAAAATCAAACATAATCTAACCAAAGCACTTGAGACAAAGTAGTCTCTTCCCAGCTCCTAAGATGATAAAAGTGCTACGAAATGTAAGGATAAGCATGAGCTTTTAATGATTCCATAGCTTCTAAAGCGAAGTATTATTCAATAGTTTTCATGGTCAATCACCTAGTGAGTGTGAAATGAGGCCATTTCTAGGAGAATGAATGCAAGGCTATATTCTCTAAGTTCACTCATGAAAACCAGGAATAGTTCAGGGCCACAATGAACATAATGAACATGCGTTATGAATGTTGTCTCGGTTTACATAAAATACCGGTTGGTTCAAGACATCATGTTCACCCTCTGGTAAAGTAAACCCGACATATATTAACTATGAGTGGTTCAAGGCTTAAAAATGCCACCAACTCAAACACAGTGAATTTTTCGCAAACACTCTCGATAAATCTGTCTAGTCTAGTCAGGATTAGAATAAGTATTTTTTTAAGAGTCCATCGAGTCTGCATATGTTTAGAGTCATTTCTATTCATGTGGGGGATTGTTGGATCAATTCTTATTAAGCCCAAAGCTTATCAATAATTGTCATTAAGTGAAGAGAAATGGGCCTAGCCTTTTCTGATTAAATGAAGAGAAAGGGAGCAAGTCCCACATCGACTAAAAGGAGGGAGATTCACGCATATATATATGTTGTGTCTCTTACCTTGGTTCAAACGGCTCAGAGGTGGAGAAAGCTCCCTACGTGCGCGCCGCCGCCGTCCGGCCGGCCCGGCGCTGGCGTCGTGGGTCTTGGGTCTTGGAGAAGGGCCTCCGGCCCAATAAGATTATTTTTGGACCAAATTAAATCCAACGCTTTGCCATTTTTAAATTAAAAAAAACAGCATGAAGTTTGTATAAAAACAACATGAATTCTATCTGTTTGGCAAACGATTGAACGACTCAAATAAAAGAGAAGATCTTGTGGAGAAAGTTTCTCAGCTTCCACTTCCGAGATCTCAGCGAGATTTTCGCCCACGTGCAACAGTTGTTGCGGGAAGTGGGTCTTCTCCTTCTCTTTAAATATCGTCCTTCCTCCTCATTCATAACTAACCTTTTTCACACAGAAAAAAATCTAGCAATCTCTCAGCGTAAGTTTTCAGATAGTGTTCGTAAAATTTTAGTTCGTTAGGTCATTTCATGAGTGAAGCGTGATTCGTCTGCCATGGTTGTATCCTGGGACTCAATATTCGTACAATTTCGTCTCACTACGGAGCGAATATTAAGAGTTAAAGAAATAGATTTATCTCGCCTCCGTGTCTTATATAATCGTTTGTTTCCTTAACTCCGTGTTTCTTATATCGTTTTAAGTTGATCCGGTTTTCTGGCTTTTACAAGTAACACCATTGGAGGTGCTCTAATACGCTTCTGTGGTTCTGCTATATTTAACTATTATGGTAAATTGGTTTAGAGATGTGTAAGATGGTTGTGACCTAGTTTCAGAAGAAAAAAAATTGGATGGTTGTGACCTTGTACTTGATATCTTTAGTTATAACATGTGGGTCGTGACCATATGCTATAAGGCTGAGTCCGTCCGGTTGTGGAACTGATCTTATTGTTTACTGATAGTGTGAATTAAGGCTTCTTGGAGGTATGCTTCTATTTCTATGATGATGAATTCTGACATTGAGACATGATAGTCTTTCATGAACTTGAAGGTTTATCACATTTACATTGTTGCATTTCATTATTGATCAAACGAAAAATATAGTCTCATGATCTGCATCTAGCAAATAAGAGACAAGATTAAAAGAGAAACTAGTGTTATTCTACGTGAACAAAACATGCATTCCATGCAAGAAAATCCACTTTTATATTAATTTTCTAGATTATATGAAGGCTTCAATATATTGATGTAGAAAACGGCACTATAAATTTTATAATACTATGTTACAATATTTTTTTAAAAAAAAAAAAGAAAAAAGATGATTTTTTGCTTAAATTTACTAATTAGAGAGCTAGGGAAACAATGATTCACTAAACACTAGTTATACTTATTTAAAAAATGATGTACATTTTTTATACATAAATGATTTATAAAAAGGTTTACGAGTTACAAAAAAGAAAGGAGTTTATGAATCTTGAAACAGAGATATAAATAAACAACACACGAGTCTTTAATCAGTTAGGCTCGCTTACCGTTAAGATCTGTAACTTCACAAGGCAAGCGATGGTTGAGATCTCTGACATTCCCGTCGACGACGGGGTTAACGGCGGAGCTTCAACCAAGAAACCGCAAGAAGCCAAAACATCGACTTCTTTGGAATCACTACCCATCGATCTCCTCGAACAAATCGTCGCAAGAGTTCCAAGAAGTGACCACCCAGCCGTATCAGTCCTCTCCACAACCTTCCGTCGTCTCATCGCTTCACCGGGCTTCCGCCACATGCGGTCGCAACTCGCCATCACCGAACACGTTCTTTACGCCTTGGTCGGGTTCCCTCCACGTCTCCCACGCTGGTACATTCTCTATCGAAACAGGCTCCGCAGAGTCATTACACTCCCTCCCATGCCTTACGGCGCCGCCGTCGTCACCATCGGACACGAGATATACGTCATCGGTGGAAGCAACAACGAGAGAAGTTACTTACCGAACGTGACTCTCGTGGACTGCAGAACTCACACGTATCGGCCTCTCCCTAGCATGAGAGTCGCTAGATACCGCGCAGCCGCGGGGGTGGTAGATGGAAAGATCTACGTAATCGGAGGTTGCAGGAAGCGATCTGAAAGAGATTGGGTTGAATGGTTTGACCCTGAGAGACAGGTATGGCTCGCAAGGAAAGAGAATCTATTTTATGCGTGTAAAGAGTTCGTGACATATGATGTTGTTAAAGAGAAGATCTATGGATTGGGTGAGGATCATTATGAGTGCTTGAACGTTTACGATCCTAGAGAATGTACACTACAACCAGGGCTTGGTGAAAGTGAGTTAAGGGGTTTTTTGCATGCGTCTTCATGTGTGGTTGATGATATGTTGTGTACTATTGATGTTGGGTGTATGGTTGGACATCCAATCATCGTGTATGATGGAGAGGATCCTGGGTCGGGTGTTTGGAAACCTGTGAGAGGTGTGTATGGTTTGCCTCCTTGTCTTTATTGGTATGCGTATGAGTCTAAGATGGCGAATGTTGGTGGGAGGAAGCTGGTGATTTTGGTCGGTAGTCAGAGCCAGTTGTGGAATTATTACGGGGACAAGTATATTTGGTGCGTGGAGATTGCTTTGGAGAGAAGTCAAGAAGATGGTGAGATCAGGGGGAGAGTTGAATCAGTCGAGGTTGTGTTTAAAACCACCAACACCACGCCTACCATTGAGCTTTGTCGAGCTGTTTGCGTTTGATGAGTACGTGGTACTTTTTTGCAGGTATGTTTCTGTGATTGTAGAACTGATGTTTAGACATGATACCCATCAAGGTTTAGTTAGACCTTTTTTTTCTGTGAACTTGCAGGTGAAGGATCTTATATTGCATTGCATGTACTTGTTTAGAAGCAGATGGCTAAGAAGCTTTTGTCTGACACCTCAAGAGTAACTTGTCCTTCTCTGCGTACCTTTGTTAAGCAGCTTTCATTTTGTAAAGTGTTCTTTTAAAAAAAAAAACTATAAGTGAATAGGGTTAGCCATTGCTTTTAGGCTTTTAACACAATAGTCTTACGAAACTTGTTGAGATGCATCTTTGGTTAGCTATCTCTTGGGTTTTTGTGTAGTTGCACCTTGTGTTTGTTTTTGGATTTTATGTTCAGGTATAAATAACAAAAACGCAATCTACTTCTACTATAAGTCTATACTACATGAGTTAAATGATATTTTGGTTTAGATATGAAGCAAAGCAAACTGGTTTAACAATAAACCGGTAGTTTTCACCTATAGATATCTTCTAGCTGACAATATACAAGGACTAGTCAAAGTACAAGACAAATTAAGGTTTCCAAAAAGAAAACCAAGAGACTTAATTGTGACTTGACTTGAGACTCACGTTTAGAGATACTTGTCTACAGTAGACTAGTCAAAGTACAACATTTACACTTACGGATGGATAATGTGGTTAGACGTAAGTGTAAATGTTGAATTTTGGTGATTCTTAGCGATAATGAAACTGTGTACAAAATTCTAAGAGCATCTACATTCATAAATCCACCGATAGGGTTTATAAAAACATTTATTACTAGGTGTTTTGCCCGCACTTGCGGGCTTAATAATTTTACTAATATCTATAAATAAATATAATCAATTTATGTAAATTATAATAAATTATAGTTCATAGACTCAAAATATTTAATAATAAACTAAACGAATTCTTTCTATATATAAAATTTTTCATCATCATATAAATAATTTTCATTACACAACTTATATTTGAAAATATTCATGAACTTAAAACATTTAGTAATAAATTAATATAATTTTTATACATAACAAAAAAAGTATAAAAAATTATCTTTAATAATGTTTTGGATAACACAATATAAATTATCTATACATAATTTTTTGCGAATTGATTTTTCGTAATTAACTATATATTAACAAATATAATTATTTTTCAACGGTAATAAAGACTTTATAACACAATATAAAAAAGTTAGATAAAGATAATTATCAAATTCATGAGATCATTTTCAATTTAGAATTAATTATATGTTAACAAATATAATATTTTTCAAGGTTGATAAAGATTTTATCACATAATATAAAAAATTAAAATTAGGATAATTATCAAATAAATGAAATTCGTATTTAATTTATAATTAATTATATTAATTATATAATTAATTATATATTAACTATTCTAATTACTTTTCAAGGTTAATAAAGAATATATAACCCAATATAAAATAGTTTTAGATAAAGATAAATCTAAAATCATTGAAATTCGTTTTTTATTTATGTTTAATTATATTAAATTTTTAATTATTCATTAAGGATATAAACGATATTAACCGTTCTAACTTTCAACGTGAAAGCTACAAATTAATCAGCAAATTCACTTATATTTTATAATTGAAAATATATTTTTAAGATAATAATCTAATACAAAAGAATTAACATATTTTCTAAAAATATAATATTATTTACATAAATTCTTTTTTTTTATTTTATAATAAATTATTAAAACATGAAAATAAGAAAAATAACCTAAAATCATGGAGAAGTTGACAACTAAACAAATTTACTTCTAAAATAATAATTGAAAAATATATTTTTAAGATAACAATCTAATACATAAGAATTAACATATTTTCTAAAAATATAATATTATTAACATAAATTCGTTTTTATTATATAATTAATTATTAAAACATGAAAATAAGCAAAATAACCTAAAATCATGGAGAAGTTGACAATTAAGCAAATTTACTTCTAAAATAATAATTGAAAAATATATTTTTAAGATAACAATCTAATACATAAGAATTAACATATTTTCTAAAAATATAATATTATTAACATAAATTCGTTTTTATTATATAATTAATTATTAAAACATGAAAATAAGCAAAATAACCTAAAATCATGGAGAAGTTGACAACTAAGCAAATTTACTTCTAAAATAATAATTGAAAAATATATTTTTAAGATAACAATCTAATACATAAGAATTAACATATTTTCTAAAAATATAATATTATTAACATAAATTTGTTTTTATTATATAATTAATTATTAAAACATAAAAATAAGCAAAATAACCTAAAATCATGGAGAAGTTGACAACTAAGCAAATTTACTTCTCAAATAATGTTATAGATTATTATTATTTTTTATTTTTTAAAAAAAATAGTCGATCAATCGTGGGTCGCCACGTGACGTGGGGCCCATGAAAAAACAGTGAACCGCCCGAGAACTTCTCTAACTTGAATTCACCAAAATTGTTTTATTTTATTATTTTTTCTCCTTGAAATGCATGTGAACCTCTCTCTTGAGTCTTTAATATAGATGCTCTAAGACCATGAGCATTGGTGTCCCCTGATTTTTGGTCCCCTAAATAAATTAATATTATTTTGAAAGTTTCTTATTTTGTGTATGAGCATTTGTGTCTCTTTGTGTTTGGTCCCCCGAATAAAATATTAATACTTTGAAAGTTTAGAAATTAATTATTTAAATTTAAAAGTAAAAACATATTATAGATTTAATAAAAATAAAACATATAACATTAAGATTGAAAACATAAAAAAATTACAAAGTTACAAAAAACTGAAAAATAAAAACATACAACTAATACATAATATAAAACACACAAAACATACCTTCTATCGCTCGATTGGAACTGACGTCAGATGCTACAAATGAAGAGAAGGAATGACGAAATCAACGACGGGAGGCAAATCGCGAAAATGAATTTGCGTTGATCAACTCGGCGGACTTTCCCAATCCGAGACGACACATATCAAAGAGAACGGACGAAATACGTCTCCATATAAGGAACGTGGACTTGTAATTTTTTTTTCCTTTAAATTTTGTAAAAAAAAAAGACGAGGGACGGGAGAAATACACGCCAATGCACATGCTCTAAGAAGCTTGCTGAAATTGCATCTTCACTATCATGGTCAGATCAGATGGTCTCACTATTCCAGGCTCTTTAAGTTTGCGTGTAACAACAAAAAGTCAATATAAGCAACAAAAAGCGTTTCAGTTAAACCGGAGATACTATTGATTGATGGGACATTCGCCATGCCACAAGGCTTTGTTTAGGCTTTCATGACCAATTTTTAGTATTTCTTGCTGCTAGTTGGTCTGAGAACAAATCTAATCTTTTCTAGAAGTTTGTTAATTTTGTAAATCGGATGAATGTTGTTGTGTGTTCTTGATATAGTGGATGAAGAGAGATTGACATGGGAATGGAAGTAATACAATTTCTCAACATTTATGTTACTTTTTACGTATAGGTTGTAATGATAAACAAAACTTTGATTTCGGACTTTTAAAACTCTAATCTTATTTCATGAAAGAACAATCTATCTTATTAAAGTTCTAGTACTCTTTAGATTTGTCTGGAAACTTAAATAGTAGTAATAAAGAGTTTAATGTTGTTTGGCTATAAGTTTAATAGAGTTGGGCTTTTAAACATTGTTATAATAGAATTGGGTTTTTGTTTAATTTATTTTATGTTATGGTTGGCTTTAATCATTTGGCCCATTGTAGTAATTTGTGTTTTTAGTTTATATTTTATATAAAGACCATATTCAATTTTATTTATTGTTGACTAAATTAAAAATAACAACAGTTTTTAAGATAATAACAATTTACATTTCAAATAATTTAATACTCAAATATATTTTATCTAAAGTATTTTATATTATTCAAATTATCATAAAGACACAAAATATTTGAATAGTTTTAACTAAAATATTAAAAATTTGTTTTCGTAACTGGATATTTATCCGAAACACCTATCCCTTCCCCAAAATCAGTTTTATCCCGATTAATCTAAAATTAATCCTAGAAATCGTAACCAAATCGTTATCATATTGGAACCAAAAATTTATCTGATATTAGTCGGTTATTATAATTATTACCAAACTCAGCTCAAACCAAAAGAATCGAACCGGACGCAAATCAATTTATATAGATAACAGAACAGATCTTATATCTGTAGAATTAAAAAACTATGAACATAAAGAATCCAACAAAAGTTGAACCCAAAATCAAACTCCAGTCTTATTACATTCAATACGATCATAGTTTTTGAAATACGGTAATAACCGATGACTTATGAATATATTATATTTTTCCTAATTAAGTTAAACCCGCGCCGGTGCATGGGTCAAGATCTAGTTCTTATATTACAATAACATAAACTCCTAAAAAGACTATAAAACAATAGAATTACTAAGCAATACCACAATTAGGTGTAAAATTTCTCAGCAGATTATATTAAATCGATTTGGATATACCCGAAATAAAATTTAAATTTTTAATATAAAATATTTTATATATAGAATTTAATATTTAAAGTATTTATTTAATTTTTTAAAATATTTACTATTAGATATCATGTCAAAACAAATATGAAATTGAATATTTGAAATATAATTTTATATTAGTTTGAACATTCAATTTCTTCTGATATTTTCCGAGATTTTCATGTTTAGTTAATAATACTTTAGATTCAAATATGCTACCTATAAAATTTATTCGGTTATTTTTCATCTTTCGAAATGGATATGGTTCAGATGTTTTGGTTTGAATCTAAGTTACGAAGTATGTTAAGCACTATCCACCATAACAATGGAGAGAGAGAAAAAAAAAAGAAAAAAAAAAGGGGAAGGTTCCACCGAGAATTGAACTCGGGTTACTAGATTCAGAGTCTAATGTCCTAACCGCTAGACCATGGAACCATTTGATGCTTCTACGAATTTTTATTAAACTCATTTCTTAATTTTGTTGCTTTTATCTCTCTCCCATGTCTTCTTCTTACTGTATAATCCTTCTCTCAATTCAATTCTCGGAGCTGCTCTCTTTCTCTCCACCACCACTTCCTTCCTCCAATGCTTCTCCACTGCTACACCTCAACCTTCTCCCTCATCTCCTCCTCTCTCCACCATCCCGACGAATCTCAAGACACAGTAATCCGTCGCCGCCACAACTCTAGATCCCTCTCTCTCTTCACCCGCCACAATCAAACCCTAAAACACAACAACAAACCCCCAGAAACCTTCCTTCCTCCTCCTCCTCCGCGTCACGACGATGATAACGACAACGACAGATCGAAGCTGCTCGAGCTCTCTCTCGTGACAAGAAGAACCCCACAGTTCCCTGGCTCAATCTACGCCCAATCTGCCTCCGATCCCGACATCGCCTCCTCTCTTCCTCCCCTCCGTAACTTCCTCTGCTCCTCCGATGATGATGAGAGGGAGATGATAGCTAAGGCGCTGGAGATTAGGAGGAAAGTGACGAAGGAGATTATTAAAGAGTGTTTGGTGAGGAAAGGGAGGTTTGGGATCACGTATGCGACTAATGTCACTGATCGTTTGGGTGAGTTTGTTGATCATCTTATGATTGAAGCTGCGGCGTTGAAGAGGTTACCGGAATATTCGGAGACGAGGTTTAATATTCGCGCTAGGACGGTGATAGAGGACTCCAACTTTGTCCCGCTTGTAAGGTCAATCTTCTTAAGTTTTGCACATAAGGTGTTCGATGTTTGGTCTCTCTGAATAAAAACTGTGCATAGGTCTGTTGGGTTCGGTTAGTCCGGTTAAGTTGGTTGGCTGGTTTGATGTGGCGTTAATTTGGAAATTGAAAAGGGTGCCGAATTGAACCGGATTTTTTTTGGTTTTTGTTTCTCAAGTTTATTGCCGAATTGAAAGGAAATTTCTGATTTAAGGCTAATTTCGGGGATAATTGTGGTTATTTCCGGTTCAAAATATTGGTATAAACCGGTTTAGTTTGAATATAAAATATAGATAGACCGGTTTAGTAGTTTTTCATTATATGAATTTGACCTGTGCAGGTGGTTGAAGTACAATGAGTTTTCATACAATAGAATTGGGAAGGTCATATGCATGTCCAAAGGAAACCTTGACTCCATAAGAATCATGATCGAGTGGCTCAAATCCATTCATGTGAAAGGTGAATTAATCGCAGTTGCCTTGTTGAGATCTGGAGACAACATCTTGCAACGTAGCCGCAAAGAGCTGGACGAGATTGTTGAGTATCTAGAGAGCAATGGTGTGAGGAGAGATTGGATGGGATACGTGGTTGGTCGATGTCCCGAGTTGCTTTCTTTCAGCATGGAAGAAGTCAAAACCCGTGTTGATTTCTTTTTGCTAATGGGTATGAATCAGAAGGACTTTGGCACTATGGTGTTTGATTATCCAAAGATACTTGGGTTCTTTTCGTTCCAAGAGATGGAGAAAAAGGTATTTGAAAGCTATATATGTGTTTTATGTGTTGTCTTTTGAGTTCATTAATGTGTTGTTTACCTCTAAACCAGATAAATTACCTGAAAGAGTTTGGGCTTAGCACAGAAGATGTAGGGAGACTATTAGCCTTCAAGCCACACCTCATGGGTTGCAGTATCGAAGAAAGATGGAAGCCTCTGGTAAAATATTTGTACTACCTTGGAATCTCCAAAGAAGGAATGAAAAGAATTCTTGTCGTGAAACCAATTCTTTACTGCATTGATTTGGAGAAGACAATCGCACCAAAGGTATTTAAACCTTTGTTAGATAGTACTATTAACTATACATGCAGCAGATTCCACTAACTCAGATTCTCTTGTGCTTTTTTAAAGGTTAGATTTTTCCAGGAAATGGGTATTCCTAACGAGGCAATTGGTAACATGATAGTAAAGTTTCCTTCATTACTAACCAATAGCCTCTACAAGAAAATCAGACCAGTGGTTAGTGTTGTAACATTCTTTTATAAAAACCAAAGATGGTCTGTGGAATGTGATTCTGATAAAAGAGTATAAGTTGGTCGTGCAGGTGATTTTTCTGTTGACGAGAGCAGGAGTAAGGCAGAAGGATATTGGTAAAGTTATAGCAATGGATCCAGCTCTACTTGGATGCAGCATAGGGACGAAGTTTGAACCCAACATGAGATACTATGTATCGTTAGGGATCAGAATCCATCAACTAGGTGAAATGATTTCTGACTTCCCTATGCTGCTCAGATATAACGTTGATATACTACGTCCTAAATACACTTACTTGAGAAGAACAATGATCCGTCCGCTTCAAGATCTCATTGAGTTTCCTAGGTAAGAAACTTTATATTGAAATGATATAACACAGCTTTTAAGTAATGGTGAAGTTTTGTAATACTTGAACAGGTTCTTTAGTTACTCACTGGAGCGTAGGATAATACCAAGGCACAACATAATGGTTGAGAAGAGAGTTAACTTCAAGCTCAGGTACATGTTGGCTTGTACTGATGAAGAATTTGAGAGGAGAGTGACAGAGAAAGTGGAGAGAAGAGAGAGATTCGAAGCTGGTCTTGACTCCGGTGAGGACTCTCAATTGCTGGATGAGACCAGCTCCGACGAAGAGGTTGCTTTCTCAGATTCTGAGGAAGCAGAGGAGGAATGAGCATAATTATAACATGAGAGCTGTACATATGTTAATGTACATTCTACACCAAACTATATTAACTTAACCATGTCTGTATTACTCTTAATCAAAAAGTATTAAAACAAAAGTATCTTCATTATTTAATGTCTTAATAAAAACAAGTTTTAAAACATAGGAGCTATATACATGGACACGTACATTCAACACATAGATATATAGAAGATATTGATCAAAAAAAGTTAAAAAGAATTAAAACGAAAAGGTTCACTCTTCAAAGTCTTATAAACCCAAGCTGATATAATCTTCAAACTGATAAGCATAAACAAGTCTAAAAGTAAAATTGCAGGATCACAGAATGTGTATAGCACTTTAGCATAAGTGAATCAAGGAAAACTGTAAAAGAAATGCATAATAAAATCAACTTGATTCAATTCCAACGCGACAGATGGGATTCCGTTTGATGAGATCAAGATCCACCTGTGTAAACACCAATAACAATGAGAACTACTACCCTTACTTTTATTCAGACATGTTATAGTAACAAGTAGTGTAGTAAGAACTTGTACCTTGTGTCCAAACAGATCACGGATGTTGTCAATGCCGTATAAGATCATTGTCGGTCTGTTTAAAGAAGCCAAAATAACAAAGACTCAGCAATGTTTCTGTGATAAAGAAAATAAGAGATGTCTTTGAACTCTATTATACCATTACCTTTCAAGAGAAAGACCCCATGCAATGACTCGAACATCCTCTGGGAGACCCATTGGTTGTAGCATCTCGGGTCTGAACATGCCTGAGTTTCCAATCTCTACCCATTTCTCTAGTCCTTCATGGTAGCTGATAAAAAAACAGCGGACACAAAATAACTTTAGTGTCTTCTGTTCTTCTGTTTGCGCATATACAGAGATGATGATTTGTTTGAATTTATACCTGAAAATCTCCATGCTTGGTTCAGTGTATGGGTTGTATGCAGGCTTGAAACGCAGCTGGGGCATCCCTGTAAAAAAGGCATAATAATCGCATAACCCCTAAGTGACTCTGAAGCATCAAAAGTAAGAACAAGTAGGACAAGTAATAAGAGAATTCACCTAATCGTCTGAAGAACTCTTGCAGTACACCAATGAGATCGCCCAATGTCAGACCACGGTCACAGATCAAACCTGAGGGAAAGGGACTAAACTTTTATAGGAAATTCTCAAAACGATATAGATCATTAGCTAGTGAAAGTTACCTTCAATCTGATGGAACTCTGCCAGATGGGTTCGGTCAACAGCCTCGTTTCTGAAGACACGGTCTATTGAAAAGTACTTCTTGGGAGTGAAAGGTCCCTATAGTAAGTAATCGGATGAGTATAGTAAGCAATAAAAGGTCCCTAGGCAAATGTTACTCAAAAAGCACGAAATTGCAATGATTCATTGAAACATATGTGTGTATCGATATGCTTTTGTCGGGCAAACATATATGATTGGGAGGGAAAGGTGAAATTTAGTTGACCTTTGCGAGCGCATAAAGCATCCTAGACGAGACTGCAGTTGTGTGTGTACGGAGAAGATTTTTGTTTGCTTCTTCTCTTTTCCATTCATAGTTATACCTGTCCAACAGAAAAAAGTCCATGATGAGAAATCAAAATTAGTGGACTACTATCCAAGGTAGTAAGCATCAAAACAAGATGTTACCCGCGCGATCCATATCCACCAGACTCATGAACTTGTTTCACCCTTTCAACATAATCTTCCGGTAATTCTCTTGTCGTCGAAGGAGCTACAATCAAATAATTCACATATTATAGCTAAAAGTTAGAGTGCTGTTTAGCTGAGAGAGAATTTTCCAGGAGACAAACTCAGAGACTAAGGATTCAAGCATAGAACCTTTTAGAAAGAAGGTGTCATGAGAGTCACGAGCAGGATGCTGCTGAGGCTGGAAAAGCGCATCGAAATTCCAGAAGCTACACGGCAGAGGAAAATTTTTGTGATCAACCAATGAGCATAAAAGATAATTCCTTCTGTCTCCACACAAAGCTTAAGGTATCCAAACATCAAATCCAAATAACTAGATCGATCGTGTAAAAGGTTGAAAGGTTTGCATTAGGTGCTTTGTTAGATAGTATCAAAAGAGATTGAGACATCTAAGTAATAAGATGATACCTGCTCTCCACAAAGTTGTTTGTTGGCATCTCTTCAAATCTGTGACCACAATGTTCAACATCACTATTCCACGGTAGTAGATAAGAAATAAGAAACAGTAGTCAAATGGTACAAGACTCACCCCATCTGACAGAATATGTCTTTGAACTGCTTCCGCACCTGAAACGCAGAAGAATAAGAAAATAGGTTATGAAAAGCAATGATTAATCCAAATTTTACAACAGAAAAGTTAACTATGAAGTAAACTACATTTGAGTATGAGTTACACAAAACACTAAGATACATTGAGGTTGAAGTAAATGATTTCAACAACTCTTGAGTACCTTAAGAAGGGGATGGAGATGCCCTGCCTCAAGAGGTTGTCCCTTAGCATTGAAGTTATACTCCTTGAATTCCAACTCTTTCCAGCTGCATGCAAGTAACCGATTTTTCTCTTACTTTCACTACGCCAACAATATAATTACTAGGTCGAAAAAACAAGCATTAGGGATTAGTACTCACTTCTGTAGATTTTCACGAGTCAAGTCAGTAGCAAAAATCTTCCTTTTGGGAGCATAACTGGGACCTTTCTGTATATCAGAATATCCAATCCATCCCCTAAGAAAGAAAGGAAAGAAGGTAAGCCTTAAAAATAATGTCTCCCAAAACAGAAAACATTTTACAAAAAGGAAAAGCCAACTTACTGTGTTACTATGAGTTTCCTGGTTTTGAGAGAGTTAAGACTTTCTTTATCAAGTTCCTGAAAGTGAGAAAGGCCAACTTAGTCTCATGAATTATAAATCCTAGTTTAATATTTTACATAATAGCTCTGAAAAGGGATAATAAACGAACCAGTCCTTGTTGTATTTGTAAAAGAGACTCCTTCACTTTATCTTCAACATGTTGAACCTAAAACAACAAAAGAGTACAAAGTTAAACCATTGGATGAATCATAAGAAGCCAAAGCCAATTCAATTCAATACCTTCCTAGAGACTTGCTTCCCCATAGCAACCCACTTCTTTTTAGCAGCTTGCGTACTCCCAATTTTGAAAACAGAAGGATCTAGCTTTTTCTGAAACAAACAAAAACAACAATCTTAAAGACACACACACACACACACACACACACACCAGTGAAATGAAAGATAAAAGAGATTATTATCACCTCAAGATCATCCTTTGATATGCTTCCTTCCTCAGGAATAGCCGAGAAAAAGTGAATCTNCCTTCCGCCGCATATTTCTTCCCTTCATCAGTCAAAACCAATGTCTCCCGTTTGAGCTCCTGCCACATCAATGATTAAATCAGTAAACCTCCACAATCTAAAATCAAAGATCCGTGATTATCAATCGAGAGTGTTGGTGATTACCTTAGCTTCGATGTAGCGGAAACCTTGTAAGCTCTTGATGACGTTTTTGACTTCTTCGTGGTCGAGATTGTGCTCCGCCGCGAATTGACCGGAATCTGGGATTGATTCGTTGTTCTGGAGGAACCCTAGAATCGCCGCCTCAGCCATCTTCGCCGTAAATGTTTATCAAAGTGCTTTCGAGTGAGAGAGTTACAGCGTTTCCATCTAAGGAACGATTTTTATCATCATGTCGTTTAAATGGGCCTTTAGGTTCTCTATGGGCTGATATAAGGCGGCCATCTCCAAAATATGGAAACAATTTTCTGCAATCAAGGGAGACGACGTCGTTTCATTTACGATTCTCAGTCTTACGCCTATTTGCATGGGTATGCCAGGTAGGGCTGGGCACAAATACCCGTTACCCGCCTTAAACTCGTTACCCGCCCCGTATTTGCCCCGTAAACACAAATACTTGTCATAATCAAGGCAAGTAACAAGTTAAAAAAATTCATTACTTGCAAGTCTATAACAAGTATTAAATTTATTATAGCTACTTGACTCGTTTTGACTCGTTACTTGACTTTCAATTTTTTTTTATAATATTTACATTGTTATGTCACTTAGTTTAATACTTATATAATATATCAAACATATGAAATCATATAATTCTCTCTTTTCTTTCATCAAATTCTCTGTTATATTATCTCACATTTATTGTAACATAAAAATCATACAAATTCTTTTACTATAAATAAAGACAATCACCTAATTTTAAAATCATTGGAATTAAATTTCTATTTTAATAATTTAAATACAAAAATAAAAATTTAGATAAACAAGTACAAGTACATCAAGTAACTTGCAAGTATCTCATATATTAACGAGTACTTGATTAAGCAAGTACTTGGTATTAGCAAGTATAAGTACAAGGCAAAATTTGTAATACTCGAACGGGGCAAGTCGAGTTACAAGTATAGAAAAAACTCCGAGTACTTGCCCCGTGCCCAGCCCTAATGCCAGGTGGTACATGCATAACTTTTTCTCCCCTAGATCCAAAAAAGTCCTTATGGAAGAATCTTTAAGAAAAAAAATAATTAAATAATCTGTGTACACTACAAAACGTTAATAATTCAATCTTTTAAAATCTTTAAATAAGTATCTTTTTCTTAATGAATTATTGCACAATTTGCGGATCCTCACGATACGTGACAGCAGCTTGCGTACTCCCAATTTTGAAAACAGAAGGATCTAGCTTTTTCTGAAACAAACAAAAACAACAATCTTAAAGACACACACACACACACACACACACACACCAGTGAAATGAAAGATAAAAGAGATTATTATCACCTCAAGATCATCCTTTGATATGCTTCCTTCCTCAGGAATAGCCGAGAAAAAGTGAATCTNAGCAGCTTGCGTACTCCCAATTTTGAAAACAGAAGGATCTAGCTTTTTCTGAAACAAACAAAAACAACAATCTTAAAGACACACACACACACACACACACACACACCAGTGAAATGAAAGATAAAAGAGATTATTATCACCTCAAGATCATCCTTTGATATGCTTCCTTCCTCAGGAATAGCCGAGAAAAAGTGAATCTCCGGCGACCCTTCCGCCGCATACTTCTTCCCTTCATCAGTCAAAACCAATGTCTCCCGTTTAAGCTCCTGACACATCAACACTTATCCCATTGATCACTAAACCTCCACAATCTAATAACAAAGATCCATCGAAAAGTGGTGGTGATACCTTAGCTTCGATGTAGCGGAAACCTTGTAAGCTCTTGATGACGTTTTTGACTTCTTCGTGGTCGAGATTGTGCTCCGCTGCGAATTGACCGGAATCAGGGATTGATTCGTTGTTCTGGAGGAACCCTAGAATCGCCGTCTCCGCCATCTTCGACGTAAATGTTTATCAAAGTGCTTTCGAGTGAGAGAGTTACAGCGTTTCCATCTAAGGAACGATTTTTATCATCATGTCGTTTAAATGGGCCTTTAGGTTACTATGGGCCGATATAAGGCGGCCATCTCCAAAATATGGAAACAATTGTCTGCAATCATTGGAGACGACGTCGTTTCATATTCTCAGTCTACGCCTATTTGCATGGCTATGCCAGGTACATGCATAACTTTTTCTCCCCTGATCCAAAAAATCTATACTATTATTTAACAAGTAAGTTTGCTTAGTTGTCATGTTCTCCTTGATTTTAGGTAAATTTTTTTATTTACCTTATTTAAATAATTTCATATAAAATTTTATTATTTAATAAAAACAAATTTATATTAATATATCATATTTTTAGTAAATAAGATAATTCTTGTGAATTATGTTGTTATCTTGAAATATATTTTCACATATAAAACTTAAATTTTAAATTAAGATATAAACACTATTATATTTATCTAAAACGAATTTATATTAATAATTTGATATTTAAATATAGTTAAAACGAATTAATATTGATAATTAAATATAAATCATAATTAAATATAAATCATCAAAAAAAAATTGAAAAGTGAATTTGTTGATTTTTCTCCATGATCCTAGGTAATTTTGATCATTTATCATAATTTCCCTAATTTGTTTATTATTGATTATATAATTAAAACTAATTTATATTACTAATATGATATTTTAGAAAATGAGTTAGTTCTTATGTATTATGCTGTTATCTTGAAAAAAATATTTTGCTATTATAAAATTTACAATTAACATGTAAAAAATCTATAATATTATTTAAGAAGTGAATTTAATGTTTGCTGATTTGTCATATTTTCCATGATCTTAGGTAATTTTGATAATTTATTAATTTATATAATTTTATCTATAATTTATTATATATTTAAAACAAATTTATATTTATAGTATCAGATTCTTAAAAAATAAAATACTTCTTATGTATTAAGCTACTGTCTTGAAAATATATTTTCTATTTGAAATCTAAAAGTAAGATATAAAAAGTTGTAGTTATTTTATAATTGAAACTAGGTGTTTTGCCCGCACATGCGGACTTAATTTTCTTACGAATATTTATTATTTTTTGTTTTATTAATTCAAAATAATATTATAAGTTATTTTTTATACTTTTAAAAAACCTAAATAATATTATAAGTTAACTTTTATACTTTTAAAAAACCTAAATCAAACATTAAAATATTTTTATATGAATATATATTTAGATATGGATAATTCTTATCATTATTATTAAAATCATTTATCTAATCAAATAAGTTTAATTATCTTTAAATAAATTTAAAGAAACATCAAAATAAATGATTATTTGCATCCAAAAAATTCAACCTAAAACATTAAACTTTTTTACATGATAAAGTTATTTACAAACTAATTTTTCATTCGAAACTTTGAAAAACTTAAAGTCTATTTCATTTCTTATTAATTGATAAAAAATTTTGAAAAATTGAATCAATAAATTTACATTCAAAAATTGATCTTACAGAAATAATAACATTAGTTTAGATAATAATATAATATATTTGAATTTATTTTTGTCAACCACGTATTTTCTTAAAGTTTAACTATATAAAATATATATATAAATTTAATTTAACGTGTGAGTTCAGAGACGAAAAATAACTTCACAGATATATATCATTATATTATATTATTATATTCTTTTAATTTGAAACAATTACGTATTATAATTTTTTAATTTTCTTTTCTGAATTATATACAATTAAAAATTTTAATTTATGAATATTTATTTATGTGTTTTCAGTTTTTGAATTTTTTTAATTAAAATATATTTTCCGGATAACAACACAATATCTATATAGGAATTATCTTTTTATTTTTAAAAATATATTTAGATTATGGATAATTCTTATCATTATTATTAATTTAAATCTTTATCTAATCAAATAAGTATTAAATTTGTTTTTATTTTGGCTGATTTATATATTTTATTCATTAAGAGTATAAACGATATTAACCACTCAAACTTTTACCGTGGGAGCTCCGTTGCGAAAAATCACTTCCCAAATAATAGTATAGATAATTTTACACTAATAATGTATTAGAGAATATGGTAATTCTTATGTATTGTGTTGTTATCTTGAAAATATATTTTTATTTTATATAATTTAAAACTAAAATAGAAAATTATCTATTATTAATTAAATATAAATCATCACTCAAGAAAAAATATATAAGAAGTGAATTTGCTTATTCATTAAGTTCTCAATGATTTTAGGTAATTTTAATTATATGTCATAATTTCTATAATCTTATATAATTAATATATAGTTAAAAAAATTATCATACTATATTTTCAGAAAATAAATAACTTATGCATCATATTGTTATAAATATTATAATTAAATATAAATCAAGAGAAATAGTTATAGAAATATATTATTTTAAATATTTCTGATGTTTGAGTTTTGTCATTGATAATTATTTGAAGTTTGATTTTTATTTTTTGAAAACATAAATAATAACTTACTATGCTAATTTTAAAATTAATGAAACATCAACTAATAAATATTCATAAGAGAATTATGCCCGCAAGTGCGGGCAAAACACATAGTTTTCTAATATTTAGTTTATTTGAGGAAGTTCCTAATTAAGGGAGACTTTGTACTAGAAGAGCTCTCAGAAATTAGTCCATAGGTGTGTACTACCAAAAACCCTGTAGTGCTAGCTCTACATATTGAGGATTATGGACATGGAACAGCTTGGTAACATATTAAAAGAAGAGGAATAAGACCATGTCCAACGCGGGTCCGTTTAAGGTCCTTAGCACGAAGACATAGGCGAATGGCCATTTTTAAATAATAAAGCCCAATGGCGAGGGAAGGATTGATCCGTAAACAAGGATTATAAGGATCCAATCCTTAACCACGTGGCACGTTATGAGGCATCCGGCTCGGAGATGAGATTTGGGGGTTGGAAAAATTAATTCATTCTCTTTCTCGAACTCGAAAAAAAACATTTATCTCTCTCTCGCGACACGGAAGGCGATTCGGCGATTCTCAAACTGTGAAGGTAAATCGGAGGTTTTAACCTCGATGTGGATGCATTTCGAGTTCATGCATGTTGATTTAGTCAGTTTTCGGGTTATATCGGTGGGTCTTAATCGATTTAGGATTTAAAATCGAGTTGGTTTTTTCGATTTAGGGTTTTCGTCTGGGGTTGATACTTTCTGTATCTCAATTCGCTTCTTTGTTGTTTTAGGGTTCTATCTTCGGGTTTTAAAAGATTTTGGGTTTGTAATCCATTTGGGGATTTTTTTCGAATTAGGGATTTCGTCTATGTTTGATATATTAAGCATCTCGATTCGTTTCTTCCCTGTTTTAGGTCTCTATTGTGGGGTTTAATACGTTTAGGGTTTCAAATCAAGTCGGGATTGATTCGCAAATTGATTTACGGTTCAGGATAGTATAAACCATTTGAGTTTAGCTTAGCGAATAGCGAATTTGATAAGGTGTTTGTTCATGCAAGCTCTGCAATGGAGGAAGAACTTCGAGATCAGAAAGCTCAGAAAAACTACTACAACATGATCCATTGTGTTGCAGATGCGCAATACGGGATTCCGAAGCTGTGCCCATGTGGATCAATCACGAAGGAAACCGTTGATGAAGACGATACGTACAACTACCTCCCAGGGAAAAGATAATTCGTCTGCACAGAGTTCGTGGTATGTAATGTATTCATTCTTGCTGGTTGTCTTTATTGTTCTTGTTCTGTTTATGATAATATTTATTTGTTTTCTTGCAGAACGATGGTTTGCATTTCAGGCAACCATGGGTGAAGGCTATTCAAGAAGAAGTTCAGAGGCTCAAAGACAGGTATCACGAGTAGGAGAAGCTTATGAGAGAGTGCCAGGCACTTAAGGTGAGTGATGACTGCTCTGTCATATGTCTTTACGAGTTTAGTTATATGTGTTTAGGACTCTTGTGATCTGTTACATCGATTTAGGACTAATTACTTCATGATGGCTGTTCAGGAGTAGGTGAGGATGATGCTTATGCGAGTGGCTGAACTCGAGAGAGTCCACTGAGGTTAGTGTATAAACTTACCCTTCTCCTCTTTCTTTGAAAACACTTAGTATGAACATAGGTTAACTCTTTGAAAACACTTAACATGTACTTTGAAAAAAAAAATTAGTATGTACTTTGAAAACACTTAACATGAACAAAAGTTAACAGTTTGAAAACACTTAACATGTACTTCGAGAAATATTAAATGCAAATTCAACCACAATTAATATGTAGTTCTAACAATAAGCTTCTAGTTCCCTTTAAAATCTAGTTCGAAACTTACCAATTTAGAGTAAACTTCTAACTGACCAATTTACTTCAAACATCTATTTAATTGCTTCTAACTACTTCTTTAGAGCTGCTAAACTTCAATAAATGGCTCGTAGCTGTTCTGATAAGACGGTTTCCTACTAGAATTAAATAGAATCTCGTTATTTAATCCTCCTCGTTTCTTAATCCTCCTCGTATCTACCACACAAACACAAAGCCTCCTTCCCAAATGGCATCCTCATCTAGCTTTGTTCACCTATTAGCCAGCCAAGGGTCCATTGACCTTGAGTCATCATCCCCTCTTTCCTTTAGTAGCCAATGTCCAAAAGAGTCAAGTGTCAGAGAGAGGAGAAAATAGACTCCGGTGGAGGATAAAGTCCTCATCGGTGCTTGGCTCAACACAAGCAAAGATGTTATAGTTAGTAACAACAAGAAAGCCGGTGCCTTCTGGAAGAGGATTGTTGAGTATTACAACTCCAGTCCTCTCCTGGCTGGGACTGTGCCTAGAGAACTAGGGCAATGCAAGCAAAGATGGGAAAGGATCAATGATTTGGTGTGCAAATTCGCTGGCTGCTACGAGACGGTAATGAGGGAACAAAGAAGCAGATTCAGCGAGAACGATGTCATGAAGGATGCGTTGGATATCTTCGCTAGTGACCAGGAGATTAAGTTTAACCTGGAACACGCGTGGAGGGAACTTAGGTATGATGTGAAGTGGTGCTCTACCTATTTGGAGAAGGACACTGGTAAAGAAAAACGCAAAGAAGTTCCATAGGCTGAAGAGAGACCAATATGAGTTAAGGCTGCTAAGGCTGGTTGTAAGAAAAAGAAAACTGGAAAAAAAAGAAGAATTATCAAAATAGAGGGGCTGTTGGAGATGAAAAACCAAATATCTAGACAAAATCTACTAGAGAGTTTGCTTGCAAAGATAAAACCACTGTCTGAGTTGGAGATAGCTCTCAAAATGAAACTTATTGCTGAAATGATTTGATTAACGTTGGTTTGTTAGTACCTCTAAGCCTAGCACATATTTTCTTATGTTGTTACTTTGTTAACTAATCTCGTTTTTCCCTTTGCAGGTGAAGTACAAGACTGAAGCACGGGAGGTACTCACGGGTTGTACTCAAGGGTTGTTGCTTTGTTTGTTTCTCCTTTATTTCTGTTGTATCACGGGTTGACATACCCTACTCACGGGTCTTTGTATTATGTACTCTTTGCCTTTATAAGTATGTTTGTAAACTCGACTTAAAGAGCAATTTCCTTTGCTCTTGTTGTACTCGAAAATTGTAGTGTATTTGCTTTGCTACTGTTGTAAACTTCTGCCTTTGCTACTTATTCCTCAACTTGGTAAGCTATTTGAATTGTTGTTGTTGTACCTATGTATCATTTATTTGAGTTTGTAGAGTTTGCAAGTTAGGTGTTTGTGTGTTATGTTTTGTAGAGTTTGCAATTTAGGTGTTTGTGTAATACGAGTGGTACTCGGACAGTTTTAAAAAAAACACCACAAACACAAAGCTTCCTTATGGAACACATAATACAACAATAAATTTGCTAAAGTCAATATTTGGTACATACATTGTTCAAGCAAAATGCGATTATTTGATTTGAAAAATAGTTTTTATAATCATGCCTAATGTTTAGTGATTCGGTTCTTGCTAATTTTCATAATTTTGATTTTTATAATCATGCCTAATTTTTATAATTCATTTGAAGGATAGTCATGTCTAATTTTTATAATTTTAATTTTAATCATGCCTAATTTTTATAATCCTAATTTTTATAATCCTAATTTTTATAATTTTAATTTTGTTAACAAGAAAAAATTTAACAAACTTACTTCATTTCATTTGAAGGATAGTTAAATATGGCAGATGAAGTCGATAGAAGATTATATGCAGTTGTGGATGAGGCCATTGATGAATATATTGAAGATTCATACAACAACATCGTGGAAAATCGGACAGTTAGACCGAGGAGACGTGCATATGACGAACGAGATCGCGAAGCGGGCCACCACCGGCTATGGAATGACTACTTCAGTGATGATCCAACATATCCAGCTCATTTATTTCGACGCCGTTTCCGCATGAACAAGGAAGTTTTCATGCGTATTGTCGATTGCCTATCTGAAATATTTCATTCTTTCGGCATAGAAGAGATGCTATTGGAAGGTTAGGTCTATCTCCAATACAAAAATGCACGGCCGCTATTCGTATGCTTGCTTATGGTTGCGCAGCTGACGCCGTTGACGAATATCTTCGACTTGATGAAAGCACTGCACTTTCGTGTTTAAGCAATTTCACAGAGGGTGTAATACAGTTATTTGGGGATGAATATCTGCGAAGACCCACTCCATAGGATCTTCAACGACTACTCGATATTGGAGAGATACGCGACTTTCCTGGGATGATAGGAAGCATCGACTGTATGCATTGGGAGTGGAAAAATTGCCCAACCGCTTGGAAAGGACAGTACACACGTGGATCAGGAAAGCCGACGATTGTCTTGGAGGCTGTAGCTTCACAAGATCTTTGGATCTGGCACGCTTTTTTTGGACCTCCAGGTACGTTAAACGATATTAACGTCCTCGATCGATCTCATGTTTTTGATGACATTTTACAAGGTCGAGCTCCGAGGGTACAATACGTAGTCAACGAACACCAGTATGATTTGGCGTACTACCTCACGGACAGCATATATCCAAAATGGTCAACATTTATCCAATCTATCTCACTCCCTCAAGGTGATAAATCAGAGTTATTTGCAAAAGTTAAAGAAGCAACCCGAAAAGATGTGGAACGTGCTTTTGGAGTATTGCAAGCTCGATTTGCGATAGTGAAAAACCCGGCAGTTTTGTGGGACAAGACAGAAAGATGGAAGGTTATGAGAACATGTATCATACTTCATAATATGATAGTCGAAAATGAACGCAATGGATACACGCAGTTTGATACATCTGAGTTTAAAGAAGGAGACTCGAGTAGACGTTCACAAGTGGATATGTCATATTCTACCGAGATGCCTTCAAATATCGGTAATATGCTTGGCGTACGGAATCATGTTCGTGATCGGCGTATACATGAATAATTGAAAAATGATTTGATCGAAAATATTTGGAACAAGTTTGGTGAAGATGTTTAGTTATTGTATGTTTACATTTAATATTTCAATAAATAAAAATTTTAAATATTAATATTTTACAAATTTAATTTTTTAAAAAATTCCTAAGAACTCCATGACTGGTAACACTATTGGAGGACCATTTCTGATTCGAATCCTTAACTATTAAAAAAAAACAAAGATTTTATTCCTAAGGACTCCAATCGTGAATAACACCATTGGAGGTACTCTAAAATAAATGTAAGGAGAAGGAGAAAGTGATTGATAAAGAAGAGATGCTTGTATCCCTTGAAAGTGCAGTGAATCAAATTAGAGAAGAGGAAAGGGAGCTTGAAAAGGCTAAAGCTACCACAACGGAACTCGAAGAAAAGGGGATTGGTAAAAGTGTAGCAGTTCTTATGGTAAGAAGATTCTTGTTTATGGGTTTTGAAAATCAATCGTACGTCTCTAGTGCCATTATGCATGCATGCAAACAAATTTTCACATAGACAATAACAATGAGGTGTCTTGTAGGAGCTGATGAGGCCACTACAAGACGCATTGCCATGGTTGCAAGAAAGTACTTAATTGGGAAAGGCCTTCTCGTACGTGTTTTGTTTTAGCCATTACCAATTTAACCGTTTACAAGTGAGTTTAAAGTAGCATATGGTCAAGACGAGTAATTAGTTGATACTATTTATTAAGAAACTAAATACATGTTACAGGGAGTGGGTTGGCAAGGCTGTAGCTGCTCGCTTAATATGGGAGGTGGTTTAGAATGGCTCAGGCTAGACAAAAGAAGGTACACACAAAAATTGAGGATGCGGTGACAGTGAACACCGAATCCAACCAAAAAATGACTGAAAGCATTGTGTCGGCTCAATATGCTTAATAAGACGGCACCAGTTAATACAGCAAGTCAAGATCACCATCATGAAGTTGCGATCCATATATATATCAAAGTCTAGTAAGGTAACTACAAAATTTGTAAATTTGATATATTTTTTTGTTGTTGTTTCGAAAGTATGTTCTTACATTCGGATCATAGCATGCAAGCATGGTGATGGCGTCGATGTTAGCGTTAGCGATCTTCTTTGCGGTGGTGCCGTTCAAGTTGGTAATCAGGTTTAGTACAATATATTGCTTTGTAGTGAAATCAAGTATCAGTACCCGGAGAATGAAAAAGTGGTGGGATTTCATACCCATTGCTTGTACTTGACTCTTTTTCCAAGTAGAAGTAGATCACTTACCGTGAGTCCGTGAGATTACTAAGCGATTGTTTGTTTTTCTTTTTATAAGAGGCTAAGTAGAGGCTAGGACGAATGTTATAGAACAAAGTTTTATTTTGTAATTTTTTTTACAGACGTGTATGTCACTACAACTATTATAATAAATAAATTATAATACATATATTCACTATTCAGTATCATTTTAAATTTTTTGTTCACTTTTAGAATTCTAATACAACTTTATAGTTATTTAAACTCTAATATCAATTGCAAAATACTTTGAACTCATAAATAATTTTATTTATATAAAGAATATTGGTTAAAAATATTTCATTTTCAGCCTATTTCATGAATTAATAATCTCAAATGCAGAAAAATTATTATAGAAAACGAGTCAAATGTTTTTAACTCTAAGTTTTGCAATGAAGTTGCAATCTGTAATAGTAACACTCCATATTACTGAAACTGACTCTCTATAGTGACTCATCTAGTGTCCTCCATTCTTTTGTACTAACACGATCTCAGCCTAAACAAAGACCACTCAATTGTTTTAATGATTGCAACCACTATTAAGGCATGCACAACCGTCTGTTATTTTCAAACTCCCGTATTTTCAACTTCCCACTCAAACCTTTTCACATTTTAGGTCAATGATGTTGTAAATATGCATGACCACGAAAATCCTAATTAAAAATCACTGAATAGAATTAAATGATAATGTAAATGCTGAAAGCTTTTAAGAGATCATAGGGAAATAGACAAATTTACTGAGTCAAGATTTTTTATCTTTTCTTAATTCAATAAATCGTCTCTAATGTGTGACGGTTATATGTGATTTTTGAATTTTATAATATAATTGTGATGAAACTATTTTGCACCATCCAAAATAAAATTTACGATATATAGTTCTATGATATAATCTCGAGACACTTACATAAAGAATAACTTTAAAGAGGTTTTACTGGAAATTTCTATTTGCCATTATGTGTATGCTTAATGGAGAGGTTATGTATATATTTATATGAATATGAAATTTAACAAATACGATAGAATTAAATGATAATGAAAAATAATATTTGGGAAAAAAAAATTATTATCATTCGAGTTTAGGGTAGCATAAATATTTTAGAAGTTCTCTTTCGGAATTGATCTTGACATAATCTAAAACTTGTAGAATCATCGAGATACTTTTTTTTTTAACTCATAGATAGCAACCATCAATGTTCAAAACACGAACTCAAAACCAAAACAGAGAGGGAGAGAGAGACATAAGGCCTAAGACACAAAGACTCTCATAACGAAAGCTAGAGAAAAACCAAACTTCCACCAAAACTCGACAAGTTATATGTTACTCGATCCTTCCGCTGCAAGCAAACCCCTGAGCCAAGACGGACTTCCCAGTGCAACATAAGACTGGAACCCACTTTCCTGCGTTACACTTTGGGAAACCATGAACGCACTTCTGTTGGCGTCTCTACAAATTACGTCCACTTCCCACTCTGGAATATTTGTCATCACCTCTTTGAGCTCCTCACCATAAGCCCGAAATGCCGGCCATGCCTTTGGGAGATTCACGGCTCCAACTAGCTCTGAAGCTTCAATCTCAAAGGTGACCTTCTGCATTTTATGGGATGTCATGCTCTCTGCTGCCCATTATAGACCTAATCTTTTGGCCTTCAATAATGACATAACTCCATTAAAAGCTCTCCTAATATGAAACAAAGTACTACCCTCACTATTTCTCACCAGCCAACCCATTCCCGTCAAACTTGTCTTTTTTGACCAAGAAATACCAATATTGCATTTCACTCTCCCCGTCTCAGGTTTCTTCCATACCTTTCCTTTTCTTTGTCTCTTTATTCTTCCATCATCATTGATTCTTGAGGCTTCTACCACCTCAAACCATCGTTTAGAATCTTCAATACATTTTGCAACAGTGGCCTCTGCTTCATACTCTTTGCCTTCAAATACAAAAACGTTTTTGTTCTTCCACAACAATCAGAGGATCCAAGGGTAAGTGAACCGTATTTCCTTCATCACTTCTGTATCCCTTCCCACATCCATTAGGTAGCTAAAGTTTTCGAACAAATTCCTATGTTCAAAACCTCTTGGTGAGCAGGGAAATCCAGACGTTGCCCATACCAGTCGAGCCACTGGACAAGAGAACAACACATGATTAATAGATTCTCCTTCCTCCCCGCATCTTGGACAGCGAGGGTCCACCTTCATCCCTCTTGACATTAACTCCTCCGATACAGCAAGGCGTTTGAGAGGGCCTTCCATAAGAAGATTTTAATCTTTGGGGATGTCTTAATCTCCCAAACTTTGCTACGTAAATCGTTGAGGGAGGGCTTACACATTGCTGCAGCTCTAACTTCGGAGTGGTCTAGAGAACAAGCCAACCAATACCCAGACTTCACGGAATACGCCCCCATTTGTTATGTACCCATTCATACGAATTCTCCTTCCCAACAGCAGACTTTCTTTTCATAATACGCTCAATATCACACTGAAAGAAACACTCCTCTAGCTTCCCTCAGTCCAAAAACTTAGTTTGGGGATTGATAAGGTCACACATCCTTAGCTCCAAGTCGAAAATGATTTGTTTCCTCATCGAGATGTTATTATGATCAATTTATCTAAGTTACATGCAAAAAAATTGGTATGAGTTTTCTCCAAAAACAATTTCTTTTGTGGTCTAAAAACCCAAGTCTAAGCCCTGACGAAAGATGCAGATTATTACCTAATTATCCATCATCGAAACGCAGATCACGAGTTATTTTGACAAGCTTACGTGTCATTATATAAAGAATGCGTCCAATTTTGGTATGAGAAGATACTTTACCTAAATAAAAATATATAGAATCCATAGTTTCTTTATAATCTGGCTGTCCAGAAAAAGAGAAATAGAAACGGATTTGCTTCCTTAAATTACTGATGGAAGCGTTACAATTAAAAAAGAAAAGCAAAATGGGTCAAGTGTCCATATATGCCTCACGCATGCAGCTTCTTTACTAAGACCAAAAAAAACACAGAAAAACCAATCGCTCACAGTCAGAGAGAGAGACGAGAAAAAAACATGGCGAAATCTCAAGATCAGAACAAAGCATTTGGTTGGGCGGCTAACGACAAATCCGGTGTCCTCTCTCCCTTTCATTTCTCTAGAAGGTTCATATAGAGAGAGAGATTCAAGTTTTAATTTGCTCGTTGTGATTGATGATGATATGATAACTTGTCTTTGTTTTTGTTTTATATATGTGTATAGAGAGAATGGTGAGAACGATGTAACAGTGAAGATATTATTTTGTGGTGTTTGCCACTCTGATCTTCATACCATCAAGAACGATTGGGGATTCTCTCGTTACCCAATCATTCCCGGGTATCTAAACAAAAACTCTCTGACCATTATTTGTTACCATTTCTTATAATCCCTTGCACAATATATAATTCACCATGTTAGTTGCAGCGATTTCTAGTATTTTTTTTTTTCATCAACACTAGTATTAAAAATATCGGATCTATATAGTGCTAACTTTGCTTTCTTTTTATAATACGAATTTACTGAATCATGGAAAGCCATAACACATTAGAGATTTATGGTTTATTCATGGTCCAAAATATTCTTATCTTTATTTTCCTTGTAGGATATCTTGGTGAATAGAGAATAAAGTAAAAAAAAACTAAGACTTTATTAAATCATTTAATAGTGGGAGATTCTCACAAAGCTTTTTATCCATTAAAAATAAAAAAAATAAAAAGATGGGAAAAAAAAGAGGAGCATCTTCTTTGAGATCTCATGAGATACTTCTCAAATATGTGTCATTTCTCAAATTGTCTCTTTTTCTTTTTAACATTAGAAATGAAATAGATAATTAAATTCTATTAATTAATATATTTTGTTGGTTATAAACCTTCTTTAGAAACCTATGGGATGAACATGCTCTTAGACTTTTATAAAGTATATGGAAAGGGTTTGAGAAAAAAAAAAGCTTTATATATTTGAGTTTTTGTATTAAAGAAAATAAGTTTGCGTTGTATAGTGTGAGAAATTAAGATCAATTATATTTTCTATTTTGGCTAGGCATGAAATCGTTGGAATAGCAACAAAAGTTGGTAAGAACGTGACAAAGTTCAAAGAAGGAGACCGAGTAGGAGTAGGAGTAATAATCGGATCATGCCAATCATGTGAATCATGTAACCAAGACTTAGAAAACTACTGTCCTCAACTCGTATACACATACAACTCCAGTTCCTCTGACGGAACAAGAAACCAAGGTGGCTATTCCGACAAAATCGTTGTCGACCAACGCTTTGTCCTAAGGTTTCCCGATGGTTTACCGAGTGATTCCGGAGCGCCGCTGCTCTGTGCTGGGATCACTGTGTATAGTCCAATGAAATATTATGGTATGACTGAAGAAAAAGGGAAACATTTAGGTGTAAATGGACTTGGTGGGCTTGGTCACATCGCTGTGAAGATTGGTAAAGCCTTTGGTTTAAAAGTCACTGTGATTAGTAGGTCATCAGAGAAAGAGAGTGAAGCAATCGATAGACTCGGTGCTGACTCATTTCTTGTTACAACGGATTCTCAAAAGATGAAGGATGCAATTGGGACTATGGATTTCGTGTTGGACACGGTATCAGCACAACATTCTCTGTTACCCTTGTTCAGTTTGCTTAAAGTGAACGGAAAGCTTGTGGCTTTAGGTTTACCAGAGAAACCACTTGAGTTACCCATCTTTCCTCTTGTTCTCGGTAAAGAAACAGATTATAAGCTGTGATTTTATGTTTTTGCGTGTTTGGCAAGTAACTGTTAGGGTTTTTGGTTTTACAGGAAGGAAAATGGTGGGAGGGAGTCAAATTGGAGGGATGAAGGAGACACAAGAGATGCTTGACTTCTGTGCCAAGCATAACATCGTTGCCGATATTGAGCTCATCAAGATGAGTGATATCAACTCTGCAATGGACCGCTTGACTAAATCTGATGTTAGGTACCGGTTCGTGATCGATGTGGCCAACTCCATTAATTCTGCTTTGAGTCATATATAAGCTGAGATTAATGAACATGTTGTCGACCATTAGGTCTCGCTTTAGAGTCTGCTGTGACTTCTTTTTCTGTTTTCATTTCTTTTTCCTTTTTTTCTAGTCTTACATCTATGATGTAATAAATAAAACAAAGATTCTGAGATTTTTATATCATCGGATCTAACTTCTGAGATTTGGAAGATCGTGATGCTAATTCCTACCATACTCCTATTATTTAGGATTTTCTTTCGAAATATTAAAACTCATGAATGATTAGAATATGTTTTATTTTTTTCGGAAAAACAAAAATGTATAACCTAATAAAAGAAAACAGTAATTTGGTAATTTGAATTTCAGTTTAGACAGTATACTTATTTCAAAAATATTGGTATTAACTTTAATAATCATATAAATTTGTAATAGGTTACACACATTTTTACTTATTGAAATATATTGATGTGTATCCATTATTTCATTATAATCTAAGTAGGACTATTTTTTCTGTTATCTATTAAAATATACTTATTTTCTATTTTTGCTAGGTTTTAGTTTAAAGAACAAAAAAAAGCAAATTCAAAAGGAGAAACCATTATTCCATTATTAAAATCTTAAAAGAGATTCCAACAGTCCATTACATGATATAAAATAAACCATTATTATTAGGGTTTGCATACATCAAAGTTTTACAGGGGAAGGAGCCGGAGAAGCACCACCGTGGTTTGGAGATTGACAGAACCCACGGAGGACGTTGGTTTCTTCAGATGTAAAACCAAGAGAAGTTAGCATCGACGGCCAACAGTTTATGGTGATGACGTCGACGGCGTGACAGCAACCGTCGCCGAGTTTGGTCTCGCCGTTGAGGAAGAATAGAACGATTTCGTTGGTGCATGATTTCAACTCGTAGAGAGCATCCCAACACTCCATCAGTCCTCCTCCGTTAAGCCTTGCCGCTATGTTGGTGGGATTCGCCGTGGTCGGGAGTGTCCTACCGGAGATGTTGAGGACGAGGAGGAGAGCTATGGTGGCGAAGAGGGAGAAACACGTGTTAGAAGCCATTTTTGTTTTTTTTTGGGGATTTGTGTTTGTGGTGAAGATTGGGTTATGAGAGTGCTGTTTTTATAGTGTGGTTTTGGATCTAAGCGAAGGTTAGTGGTCATTTAAGAGTACTTAAGAGGTGGATTAGTGGGAGGAATGTGAAAGGATTAGCGGTAAATGATTTTATGTACTTAATGTCGATTAACATTGGCCTGGCGACTATGAGTAACGGTCTGATGGAGACGAAGGTTAACATCATGTTATAAAACAAGTGAGCAAAAAGAAAGTACTTTCGAAATTAGGTTTTGTTTATTAATTTTTATCCGTGTTTGTAAAGATAACACACATGGAAAAGCAGACTTATCATATATTAATCAACTAGGTGATTTTCCCGTGCTCATGCACGGGCATAAATATCTATAAAATAAATATATTATAATAGTTGATTGATATTTACTTTAATTTTTATATTAATTTATAGTTTTTACGTATAATTATATTAATAATATTATACTATTTTAGTTATATATAATTTTAGATATATTATATTTAGTTAGTTTATCATTTGGATATATATATATATATATATATATATATATATATATATATATATATATATAT